GCCCTGCGGCCTGAGGAGAGGGGAAGGGAGAGAAAGGGGGAGGGATAGAGAGAGAGGGAGGGAAGAGAACGTCACAGCCCGGGCGCGTTGCAGGAGCGGATCGGGGCGCGGTTGGGGGTGGACTGAGCATGCAGGGGTGGTCGGGGCAGGCACTAGGGACAGGGCCAGGACGACTGGCCGCTGGGTTCCGCAAGCGCAGGGCGCGCCGCAGCGGCCCACTCGCCTGCCCGTACCTGCGGCTCGCGGCGAGGCCCGACTGGGCGCGGGGCAGCAGGAGGCCGCGGCGCAGACAGGCTCGCACGCCCAGCATGGCTGTTCGGCTCTGTGGGCCAGCAGCCGCGGACGGGAAAGAGGGAGTGAGGCTGCGAGAGGCGGGCCCTGGCACCGACCGTGCCGCGGGCGGGTCTTCACCGGGACTCTGGGCCGGGTGGCTGGTCTCCGAGCGCCTCCCGATGGCTGCGGTCGGGGTTGCAGGCTGGACTGTCGGGGCTTGAGAGGATCCGGATCTGTGCACAAAATTAGGCTGGGCACTGCTGGACATAAACCCGTGTCTGCGGGAGAATGACCCTCAGTGAGGGAAACATGGAGGGCTATGAGGATTCTGGGGCGTGGAATATGAGAGCCTAACTCGTCTTCTCTAACCCTTGCCCATTTTCAGAGGCGAAATGAGGCTCCAGCCGGCTGGCCCAGGCCCAACCATCTAGCGAGCTTTGCCTTTGCTCAGCCTCCCCATTTCAAAGTCCTGCCCACTCCAGGACGCACTTCTGAATAATAATGATGAGCAAACATTTAGCTTCTCCTGTATACTTTACTGGAGGGCCTTGGGTGGCACAAACCATTTGAGCTGGACTACTAACCTAAAAGTTGGCGGTTCAAATCCACCCAGCGGTGTGCAAAAGGCCTGGCCATCCACTTCAGTAAAGATTACAGCCAAGAAAACCGTATGGAGCAGTTCTGCTTTGTAACACATGGGGTCGAATCACCTCCACAGCAACGGGTTGTTTTGTTTGTACACTTTACACACTTGTCTCATTTGCTACATTCAGCCAATATTTATTGAGTGCCTGCCAGACACTTTTCTAGGCACTGGGTATACAATGGTGGGCAAAGAGAGACAAGGCTTCTGCCTTCATATTGCTTACAGTCTGGTGAGGGAGGCAGAAGCTCATCTAACAGTCATACAGATAAATGTACAACCACCCACTCTGAGAAGTGTCATGAGTAAGTATAACAAGGGGCCTGATCTGGTGGGAGTAACAAACGGGGAAGGCCTCCCTGAAGAAATCACATGTAAGTAGCCATAGAAGAATGGAAGGAGGCAACTTAGAGAGGGGTGGCTGAGGAAGTGCTGGGGAAGCAGAAGAAACAGCATGTGCAAAGGCCCTGTGGCGTGGCAGTGAGTCTAGGCTGAAGAACTGCAGAAGGCTGGCATGGCTGGAGGACAGGAAGCAAAGGAAGAGAGGTAGTAGATAAGGTTAGGAGATTTGGGAGGAGGACAGGGGCTGGGCCTTGGAAGGACTTGTGAACTGTAGGAAGGAGGTTTGGTTCTTGATGAGAGCAGAAGGAAGCTGTTGAAGAGCTTTAGGCAGAGGAGTGACTGAGTTGATCTGCATTTTGGAACAATCCTTCTGGCTGCCCGGTGGAGAAAGGTTTGGAAAGGGGCAAGAGAGGAAGCAGGAGTAGTTAGGAAGCCATAGCAGGACCCAGGGAAGATAGTGAAGGCCTGCACCAGGGTGGTGGAAGTGGAGATAGAAGAGGAAGGACTAGAGGTCCATTGAGGAGGAAAAACCGTCAGTATTGGGGGTGAGAGAAAGGGAAGTGTCAAGGATGATTTTCAGGGTGGGGCTTGTAGGACAGGGTGGTGGGGCCATTTACTGAGGAGAAGGTACAGGGAGAGGCCCAGATAGGGAGTTCGCAAAGTCAGTTTTGGACACAGAGTTTGAAGTGCCTTAGAGACATACACATGGAGATGACAAGGCTTTGGAGCACAGAGGGGAAGTTGGTGGGAGAGAGAAATCAGGGTTTTCATTGTGGAGATGGTATGGGCTTGGGTGAGATTGTCCAGGAAGATAGTGAGAAGAGGGCTCAGGCTCAGACTCAGGCTTGAGGAACTCAAGAGTGAACCTGCAAAGGACACAGAGAGGGAATGGCCAGAGTGATAACAGGACAACTGGGAGAGGATGGTGGCCCAGAGGTAGAGAGAAGTTTTGTCCACATAGTCAAAGACTCCTGAGAAGCCAGCTAAGATAGGACAGAAAAAGGTCCACTAGCTTTAGCAACATGGCAGCCATTGATGGATTTGGTGAATGTTGTCTCAGTGAGGTCAGGGTGAGAACAGAGCTGGATTGGAGTGGACTGAGGAGTGAGGGGAAGAAAAGGGGAAATATGTGAAGTGGGTGCTTGATGTGAGGGGGAAGGATGAAAAGATAGATAAAGGTAATTAAGATAAATACTGATGGGAAGGATTCCATTAAAAGAATTGGAATAAAGATATTAGGGAGAGATCATTGATACTGTGCAGTTCCTGAGAGTGTGGTGGGAGTCAGGGTGGAGGAGTCAGCAGCCAGAGGCCCTGGCAGGTGCTTCCAAGGAGTCCACTCCAGCTGAAAAGAATGATATTAAGATCAGAGAACAGGAAGCCTACTTGAATGTGGAGGAATCTGGGGTGATGACCAAGCCCCAAAGTGTGGATCATGAGCGAGGGTAGCTGAGGTCAAGGAGAGGCGAGGTTATCCTCTGGGATAGTGGAGTCACATGGGATTGAGGCAAGACCTGGGTGAGAAGACTGATCCAGGATCGAAGCATCCCAAGAATGAGGTGGAGTAGCAGCCCCAGGGGTGGAGAAGGCAGGAGAGCCCAGTGGGACTGGCCTCCAAGGGGGAGGGATTTTTACAAGAGGAAGATGGTCTTGAAGTAGCTGTGGGAGCAAGGCTACCAATCTCTTCTCTGTGGGAGACAAAACAGCACCCCGTGGGAGGTCCTTGGGGAAGCAGTGTCCTCTGGAGAGCCAGTTTAGAAGAGGAGAGCCCAGGTCAGGAGAAGCAAAGGGCTGGGTCAGAGACCAAGAAGGACGGAGCCCTAGGATTGGGGTGTGGCAGAGGACAGAAGAGGGCTGGACTCTGGGCACTTCCCGACAAAACCAGGAATGTGGGGCATGGCAGGTTCGTTCCACCTGGTCAGTCTTCGAAGAGGGTTGGCCCAGGGCCAAAAGGACACTGGCCTGGGAGGACTCGCATAACAACCTTATAAGGAAGGAAGCTGTTCCCATTGACAAGGAAAAGGAGGCACAGACACCGAGGGGTTAAGTAATTTACTCAAGGTCAGAAAGTATAACCACTTATTACTAAGTAGTTATTAAGCTCAAAACATGAGGCAGAGTTTTGAACACTGTTGGTCTGACTCCTAAGTAGGTGTAACAGTCACGGTAGGACACCCTCTCTCAAACACCAAAGAAGCTCCTTCCCCAACTTCATCTCAAGCAGAAGAGCCACTTTGTATCCTAAAGGTCTCGGTCCCCCCACCCTGACTTTGGTGTCTCTGTACTATGGAAAGTCCATTTGTCCGAATCATTCCAGAAGAGGGTAGGGGCTGATAGCATGTTGTCTGTGGGACCACCTCCTGAACACTGAGGACACATCAGTGTCCAGTGGTCGGGGAGCACTGAGTAGAGAAGGAGTGACCATAGTGGCCCTCAGGACAAGGAGCCAGGCCCTGCCCCCACCCTTGGGTCCCAGGCCCCACAGAAGCCCCAGGAGGGGTCAGACTCCCTCAGGATGGCTGAGATTGAGTTTCTTGCCAGCCCTGGTGAACGGATTTAAGGTGACTCAGTAAAACAGTCGACAACCACCCCCCTCCAGCACCTGGTTGGTGCTGCTGCTGCTGTGTCACATGCCCCTGGCTTGTCTGCCCAGCTGCTCTGGGAGCTCCCAGAGGGTGTGAGTTTAGCAGTTCTTGGATCCCTCCCAGGCCAGCCCAGCACTTTGTCCCCAGCAGTCAGTCAATATGTGCTGAATTAATTCTGGGGCCCAGCCTAGGAGCTCTGGGCTGTGGAGCCAGACTGTCTGACCTTGAATCCCAGCCTCACTCTGCTAGCTTTGTGACTTTGCGCATACCATTTAACCTCTCTGGGCCTAGGCTTCCTTATCTGTAAAATGGTAGCAGGGCCGGCTCCCTGGGTGAGAGACTTGGACAGTTGCACAGGCTCCAGGCTTGGGAGGACCCTGCGCTTGGTTTCATGTTCGGCAGACACCATCTTGAAATTCGTACTCATTTTTGAACAAGGAGCCCTGCATTTTCACTTTGCACTGGGCCCCACAAATTATGTTAACTATGTAGCCAGTCTCGAGCGGGAATAACAGAGTATATACCCTAGAGGGCTGTTGCAAGGATTAAATGAAATAATCTGCCTACAGTGTTTAGCACATAACCAATGCGCAGTAAGTGCTGGCGATGCTTCCTTGCTGTTAAATTATCCCGGGAGCCCGTCTGTGATAAATGAATGAAATGACCGAATGAATGAAGGTCTGGAGAATATATGGAAGAGAAAATGCCCAGCTTGGGGGGGGGGGGGAGAGGGGTTGAGAGGGGCTGTAAGGGAAGTGGGAACATTTTTGCGCCCATATTGCTAAGTAGCTGTTTCCACGGCAGCCGGGGATGGCGCAGTGGTCCAGACGCAGCCGCCACGCCCCACGAAAAGTCCACTTTGTGAGAGCTGAGGACGTCGGTTCCAGTCTTTATTACAAGGGCGTGGTCTCGGCTCCCAGGAAGTCGCCAGGCTGTAGCTTCAGGAGCTGCAAGGGGTCTGTCGAAGCTTCGATGAGTGTTGAACGAGCACAATCGCGGCATCCGGTCGAGCTGCTGCCGGTCCGCGATCCCCGGGTCGAGCTCCAGGGTTACAGCCCCGCCCCGCCTCATTCCCGAGGGGCGGGGCCCTGCAGCTGCCCGCGGCCGGAGGGTCCTCGTGCGCATGCGCCGGACGACCTGGGGCGGCTGGACGGTGCTCAAAGGAAAGGGTTGGTGTTCGCCAGCGAGGGCGTGTTCAGGGGGCCGGTGGAGCCCGACGTGGGCAGTAGCGGCTGCGGTAGGCTTGCGGGCTGCGGCGGGAAGGCGCCAGCCTGCGGGAAGACGCTGACTGAGGAGGGGAGGGTCAACCCAGCCGGCACACTGCTGAGTGGGAGGGGCAGGGAGGCGCTGTAGGTCATGGAGCCCAGGGGCGCCTCGACGGGCCCGCCGACCGCTAGGCCCAGCGCTGGCGACGCGGTGCGCACCTGGTGCAAGGTTGGCCTGCCCTGCTCGCCCCCGCCGAACGGGTTGGTGGGGGATGGAGCACTGAGACCTGCGGAACGAGAGTGGGTCGGGGGCTTGGAGCAGGCTGGGAGCCAAAGCCCTAAACGGGGAGGGGAGGGGAGGATTGCAAGATCCAGGGGCTTAGAGATGGGGAAGGGGGTAAGATTCTAGGGCAGGGGGCTAGATTCTGAGGGGCAAAGGAGAGCAGGGGCCCCCAGTGTTGAGGCCCAGCAGGGACGAGGAGTGTCCTACCTGTGAGGAAGGGGTTCTGGATCTTTGCAGACTGGGGTGCCTTGACCAACGAGTCAAGCTTGACCAAGGAAGAGGCCGAGGGACCCAGGAAGGACTCAGGAGTCCGGCAAGCTCGGGGCTCCTTGCTAGGCTGGGTCAGCGCTTCCTCCAGCACATCCAGGTCAAAAGCATCCGGCTCCTTCGTACCGTTTTGCTTGGAACTGGGGATGGGTTCTCCAAACAGGTCCAGCTCTGGAACGGCAATGGCAGAGCTCATTGGTGGAGAAAGGGACTGGCCATGGGTGTTTTAAGGAAGAAGGAAGAGGCCAGCTCTGGGTGGGCTCCCACAGTCCCTGGGATTTCAATGTCTCGCTGCTTCCTGCTTACCCACAGGGCTGCTGGGCTTCCCAGAGGGCAGGGCCTGGGCACCCTCTGGCTTCTCCTTGGTCTCTGTGGGTTCTGGGGTTTTGGCAAATAGGTCAAAGTTTGAGGTACCACCTAGAGCTGGCCAAGGAAGAAGAGATAGATGGCAAGAAGTTCAGGCACCATCTGACCCCTATTCAGGGGAGCAGCCCTCTTCTCAACACAGACAGGGTATGCTGGCACCTTGGCACTGGAGGGTGACCCAGAAGTCCCCTAGCCCCTCACCCGCACACCCTGGCCTTCCACTTACCAGGTGTACTGGAAATCTCCATAGGGTCCCCCCAAGGGTCGGCCCCAGTGCTGGCGAGTTTATGGTGGGGGGAGTTCAGTGCCCAGGAGTCTATGGTGGGGGGTCCAGCAGGCAGCACTGGGGTCCGGCCCCAGGGCTCAGAGGAGGAGAGCATGGGGGGCAAGTCCCAGGGCTGGCTTCGGGACAGGACATTTCCCGAGGGGACCGGAGACCAGGGGTCTGTAGAAGGCCCCCAGGAGGAGCCGCTGGGCTCTGTGCTTGGCCTGAGACCTGAAATAGGAATGGCACAGACATGACCCCATGTCCACCCTTACCCCCCTTCAGGGCCCTTCCCAGTTACCCAGCCCAAGCTGGGACCCACTTCACAGATGACATGCTGACTCAGAACCATTCAGCCAGCTAGAGCCTATACTCAGCAAGTTGTCTCAGGTGCCTGGGTGCTCAGTCATGGGCAACTCAGGCCGCCTTCCCAGGAAGGAAAGCCAGGGAGAGGATGGAGGGCAACAAGGGAACATTTGCCGAGCTTCCCCATGAGCTGGGCTCTTCAAGCAGGCTCACCCAGCCGTGACTACTACCCCGTATCACAGAGGAAGCTGAGGCTTAGGGAGGTGAGGGATTAGCCAGTGGCCCTCAGCTATACGGAGGTGGTGCTGACAAGTAGCTGGGAAGGAAGGGGCTCTCTGGGGCCAGCCTGGGAGCTTCTTGCAGCCCTGCATGCCCACCTGGGATGTCCCATGGGTCAGCAGAGCAGTGTATGGAAGGTGGGCCCGGGGTGGGTGCGAAGATGTCGGCCAAGTCCAGGATGGAGGACTGTGGAGGGGAGAGGCAGCATGGCTCAGAAATGGGTGGGGCCCAGAGGGAGGGCGGGCCCTGACCTGTCAGCCTAACTCCAGCTCATTTCCTCCTTTATTCATTCCACAAACACCTATTAATTATCCCTCACCTTTGTACAGTGTTTTCCACTTTATAAACTGTTTCCTCATCCGTTTAGTGCCTGATTTTCACAACAGTCTTGTGAGGTAGGTAGGGCAGGTGTTTGCCCATTTTACAGATGAGTCAACTGATGCCCAGAGAGTGGAACCAATTTGCCTGAAGTCACACATCCAGGGAGAGGCAGAGCTGGGATAGACCCCAGCCCTGCTGACCCCTTCTTCAGCTGTCCTGCTGCTCAGTCCAGCAGAAGGGGGCAGTGAGGGAGAAGACAGATTTTATGACAAGCCTACCTCCCTAGGTCAGTGTCCAGGAGAAATTGGGCCACAGTAAGAAGGGAAACCCTGGTGGCGTAGTGGTTAAGAGCTACAGCTGCTAACCAAAAGGTCAGCAGTTCAAATCCAGCAGGTGCTCCTTGGAAACCCTATTGGGCAGTTCTACTCTGTCCTAAAGGGTCACTATTAGTTGGAATCTGCTTGACGGCAATGGGTTTGGTTTTTGGTTTTGTTAAGCGTGGGTCAGAGAGGGGCAGAGATACCTCAGAGTAGCATGAACAGCTTTGGAGGGTGGCCGTGCTCTCAGCAGCCCCCACTTTTCCCTCCCAGAAAGTATGTATATGAGCCCAAGATGTTTCAGCACTAGGTGCCTGAGCCCACCCCTAATCTTGATCCATAGCATCACGTAATCCTAGAATATCAACTGGAACTGTCCAGTATGCCCACTGTATGGAGGAGGAAACTGAGGCCAAGACAGTGACTTGTTCCAGTCATAAAGTGAGTCTTTGCATTCCACTTTGCCATCAGCCAGTTACCAGCCATGCAGTATGAGACGGGGGACTGCTATACCCCCTTCACTCCCATTCTCATTTAATGAACACTTACATAGTGCTTCCTCTGTACAAAGCACTGTTCTACACTGATGACAAATATTAATTCATCTTCCAGGACCTATCTAGCCCCCACACGCAAGCCCACTCCCTACCTGGCTAGTTTTCAGCTGTTCCCCCTCCTTTCTCTCTTCTCTCTGGGGCTCTTGGTCTTCCCAACGGTGGACCGTGGCCCCTGCGCCATTGGCCTTGGAGGAGTCATCTTCCCGCCAGGACCTCACCTCCTGCAGAAGAGGGGCAAGGAGAGCATGAGCAGCCCAGGCTGAGCTTAAGAGGACCAGAGCATTCGAGGCTGGAGTCAAGAGGGTGCAGGGTGGGAGGCCGCCGAGAGGTTAAGAACAGGTACCCAGAGGAGCAGAAACGACCACCAGGTGAAGCCCACCAGGTGAAGCGAGAGGAGCATGGCTAGGTCCTGGACAGCACCTCCACCAGCACCAGTGCAGGCAGCCCAGGTGGCTCAGCCACTACCTTCTCGTGCTCCTGCTGGCTTAGGCGCAGAGCCAGCTGCAGCTGCAGGTCCTCGTCCCTGTGGGAGGCCGGGGGGACCGGCTGCTAGGGAGGAAGAGAGCGGTGAGCTTGGCCCAGTGTTTCCACCCCTGGGCCAATGGCAGTATTGCCTAGCCCCAGGTAAGGGAGATGGAGAGACAGAAATGCCCAAGTGAGTGGAGGTGGACCATCCACCCCCACAGAGCAGTGTGGGTATGGTGTTCTTCCTGTCTGGATTTGAGATGCAGATTAAAAATCAGAAGGATAGAGCCTTTTCTTCTGGCCCTGCTGTGAGGCCCAGCTGCTTCCGCAAAGGTAATGGCAGAGAAGATATCGGGACTGTCTCTGCCCCCTGCCCCAAAAGAACAAGACCTGGGGCCTTAGGGAGCATCTGATGGGGGCGTGTCAGCATATCCCGGTGTCTTCTAGGAATACATCTGTCAGCACACTCACCCCTTCCCCGCTATCAGGTGGTAGCAGGCCCTCATGACACCATGTTCCCCCAACCCAGTACATGCTCACTGCCCTTTTCAGCCCAGGCTTGGAGGCAGTGAGGTAGTCCCCACCTGCGACAAATCCAGGACACAGGCCCTGTGCTGCCCTTGGGAACAGGACTAGGGCTTTGGGCCCAGAGTAGGGGGGCCTAGGAGTCAAGGCATCTCTTCTTGCCCCGACCCAGCTTCTGTGCATCCTGGGCTGCTCCAGGAGGGGACCTCACCTTCTCGGCCTCCTCGCGGCTCATAGCCAGGGCCAGCTGCAGCTGCAGCTCCTCTTCTCCTGATGTCTGGGGCCGGGCCTGCTCCAGGTCGGAGGTGTAGCGGGGGGATGAGGAGGAGGCTGCAACACAGTAGGGCTCTATGACCACACTGGTACCCACGGGCTCCCACAGCCCCCTCGGGGAGTCCCAACAGCTGCCTGTCAGGAAGCTGAGGCTCACAGGAGGGGAACTGAGGGGGAAAGGGGGAGGCAGTCAAGGGCTCCAATGGGCCAGGCAATGTGCTACGCAACTTCGGTTCCACCCCCAGGGTAAAGATTCTAGTCCCTTGTTTACAGATGTGCAAACAGCTCAGAGGGACATGTGGCCCAGGGTCCTGTAGTAGGGCTTAAACCCGAGTCCCTTTCTGCTTTGGGCCAAGGGGGGTGAGAGGATGGGAGTCCTCAATCAAACAAGGTCATGGCCCTCCAAGCCCTCAGCAAACTGTCAAGGGCATTATGAAAGGGAGGGCCATTCCTGTGTATGCCTCAGACCAGGAAAGCCCCCACCGCTGAAGAAGAGAGGCAAGAACTGCCTGGCAGCTGCCCCCATTTTCAGGAGCAGTGCCCTTGAGTGGGAGGATGGAGGGGAATGCACTGATGGAGCACATAATGTACCATGTGTGTGGCACAAGGCTGAGGATGTTCCAGGGCGATCTCATTTAATTCTCACATCAACCAGTCGAGGTAGGTAAGATGATCCCCAGTTCACAGATGAAAACACTGAGGTACAGAGAGCTGGTTGCCTAGGTCACACAACTTATCAAGAGCAGAATAAGGAGGCTACTTGACTCCAAAGCTGATACTTCTACCACTATGCCACTCCACCAGAGAGCTAACTTATTATTTTAGCAAGCTTGTTGAGCACCTACTATGTGCAGGAAGTTGCGCCTTGCATGTTACGCTCCTCACCTCTCTGAATCCTCTTAACAACTCTCTGAGGTAGGTATTGTTATCTGTGGCTCGGGGTTGCAGGACCAGGATTGGAATTCAGCTGGCCCCCTGTCCCTGGCCACACCCTGGCAGTTCACTCACAGTTGTAGGAGGATGGGGACCCACGGGAGTGGCCGTAGTCATCGCCATGGCGGCGGCTGAAGCCCAGCTGCCCGCTGCCGACACTCATGCCCTCCAGTGCCATGCGCTCCTTGGTCTTTAGGGCGTGGGTGCGCTCCTGCCGCAGGCGCTCCTCATTCTTGAGCAGCGCCATCACCTGCTTGACCTTCTCGCGTACATTGATGCCCTGGTCCTTGCCATCGCGGTCGATGTACTGGAAGTCCTTGAGCGTCTGGATGGTGTAGAGGTTCTCGTGGCACTGGTGGGCCACCCGCTCGGAGCCTGTCTTGAGCAGGTAGTCCAGCAGCGTCAGTGCCTTGTACACATGCCGCCAGTTCTTGCCACTGTCATTGAGCCGCCGCCATATCATGCCCATAACTTCGGAGAAGGCCACCGTGTTAAAGGTCAGGTCAGCAATCTCTGACATAAGTGAGCTGGGTGGGCCCCATGGGTCATTGCTGGTGGCCTCCCGCACCTTGATCTCTGCCTCAGAGTAGTTGTGCACGATGTTCTTTACCTGGCGCCGCAGTGCTGAGGTCGTCATGGCTGGGGATTTGGAGACAGGCGGCCTCCGCCCCAGCCGGAGGTGGAGGGCCAAGGGCCACCGTTGCAAGGTCACGGTCTTGAAGGAGGGGCTGCTGTGCTGTCAGCAAAGCAGTGGTGTCCTTGGGTTCCACATGGATCTGAGGAAGAGAGGGTCTGGGACTCAGGGGCAATGGCCCGCCTTGCTGATCATTCAACCCCTGGCTTAATCAGGCCAGGTAGAGTGTCCCCACTGCCAGGAACAGCCTTCAGCAGGCACTTATGATGCCATTATTATTATCTCCATTCCCAGATAGGGAGAGTGAGGCTCAGAGAAATATCAAATGATCACACACAAGATCATACAGCTGGTAAGTGGGGGGCCGGGATTAATCCCAGCACATGACCCCCAGGAATGCCCACTCGCCTTGCTTCTGCTTGGCTCTTCCTTTTCTGCCAGAATCTGGCTTAAGGCCTATCCTTTCCAGTTTCTCGGTATCACTTTCCTCTCCTCTGACTGTGAATTTTTGTAGTTTAATTCATTCAACACCTATTTCCTGGGGGCCGTCTCTGAGCCAGGCACAGAACACAAGCCCTGACCCACCCATGTCCGGTTGGGAGGGTAACAGACAATCAGAGTGCAGTGTGGGAATGCAGAGGAGCACAGGAATACCTAGCTAGGAAATCAGGGGAGACTCCTTGGAGGAAGTGATGGCTGAGCTGGGATCCGAGGGGAAGGGTGAGGAGAAGTGAACCAGCAAGGCGAGGAAGGGAAGCTCAGGGGGACACTGGGAGGTGGGCCACAAGGCAAGAGACAAAAGAGCACTTGGGGAAGGCCGACTTTCAAAGAGATCTTCTAGCCACCCCCACTGTACAAACGAGAACGCTGAAGGCCAGAGAGGGCCATGACCTGTCCACAGTTGCCCGGTGTGTAGGCGGCAGAGTTGGGGCTGACACCTATATCTCCAGAAGACTAATCCAATACTTATTCTCAGTGTCACCTAGTTTTGTAATTAATTTATCTGGTTGTTTTACTGTCTTTAGTCCCGCCTTCTCAACCAGAATGTAAGTTTCTTGAGAGCAGAGCCAGTCTGGGCACGAGGCAGACCTCTGATGCCCCAGCTGAGGAGAGGGTTAGAGCCAGCCCATCACCCTCCCCACAGCTTCAGGAGGGAGCCATCTCAGAAAGTATACACAGGCCCAAGGCAGAGAGAAGGGACTCCCAAGCCCCACCAGAAACAAAATTGGAATCTCCCTGCCACTGTCATATCTCTAGAGCTAATATGGATGTGCAGGCACACACACACGCTCACACATACTCATACACACACATTCATACACCAACTCACACACACATACATTTACACACCAACTCACAACACACATAGTCTCAACACACTCATACACACACTCATATACACAATCTGCAAAGCCTCTACCTTGACCATAACTCCCCCAGATGCCCAATGAGATGTGTCACTTCTCGGCTCTGCCCTCCATCTTCAGCCTCGCTGTGCCCAGCTGGTCCCCAGGCTGCCAGAAGGCAGGAATCAGGCAGGAGGAGGCTGCCTGCCCCCCACCAAAGCTCTCTAACACCTCCCCCCAGCTCCACTCTCCCTCTTCCCCAGCTGCCAACCTGGTGGCTTAAAGGAACCAGCCCTGGGCTCAGTTCAAAGTGGCCTCGCAGGCCTTGGCAGGTTTCATTGGGGCCCAGGTGCTGGGGAGAGCACCCGCCAAGAGGCTGGGACCCCGAGGGGGATGCGGTGGGTGGAGAATGCCTGGCTGCCGCTGTGCCTACCTTCTGTCTGCTGTCTGTCCTTCCGTCCGTCCAGCTGGTGGCAGGCCTTCTGTGGGGATGCCACGCCACCACTCGTTTAACTCCTGCCCTCCTCCTCAGTAGTGACTCAGACCTGACTTTACCTCCCCACCTGGCGGCCTGGCCGGTGGCACAGTCAAAATGGGAAATAATTGTGCACACAACCCGCCCTAGTACGCACTCCTCTCCCAGGGCTGGCCACAGACCAGCAGAACCAGTCGGGCATCATGACTCCACCAGGGGCCCTACTTGGGCCCCAGTGCACTGGCCCTCCTGCCTGGCCTGGGCTGGGGCTCGGGCCTTAGAAGAAGTGGGCCTCAGGGTGGGCTCAGCAACCCTGCCTGGCCTTTGCTCCCACAAGATGGGCACGGAGGGGCCTTCTTGGCTCACCTCTGCGAGAGCTGGGGGAGATGAGAGCTGGGGGAGACGGAGGTCAGAAACACCCGGGAGGGTGCCTCCCATCTCTTTCCCCAGAAGCTTGAGAGGAGTACAAGGTAGGGAGGAAGAGGGGGCTGGGTGAGAACAGGGAGTATGGAGGGGAGGGAGGTGAAAACGAAGGAACGCGGGAGGGAGCGGCTGGGAGCACTGCCCGCGGTGTTACAGCAAAGGGTTTTATTGAACACAGTACGCCCAGAAATAAAAAGGGGTGAAACAGAAACCCAGCAGCTGATAAGGCAGTGGTGGCGGCTGCGGTGGTGTGGCGGCAGCCCCGGTAGTTGGTATGGAATTACTGCAGTGACCTTGAGCGAGACCTGTCAGGTGGAGGGGAAGGACACTGAGAAGGCAGTGCCTGAGAGGCCAGTTCAGAGATGGAGGCAGAGGGCAAGGCAGGAGGCAGGAGGGTCGGGGCAGAGGAGGGTGGGGTAGGCTGGGGAGGATCCAGGACCAGCAGAGGGTGGGATGGGGTCACAGGGCAGAGGTGAGTCCTGGGGCGCAGAGTATCAGCTCTCCTAAATATAGTGTCCCATGGAGAACTTTGAGGGGCTGCTCCTCTCAGAGCCCACAGGGCTGGGAGACTGGACAAATCCCCTCAAAGTTAGGACTAAGGAAGCAGATGGCATCCCCAAAGTGGGGTCTCAGGGAGATGGAAAGAACCCAGATCTATCCAGCCCAGTGCATGAGTTTGTCCAAGTCTGTGTGTTCCCCCACCAGCCCACACCCCCACCCCCACCGCTAAGGAGGGCTCCAGCCCCTGCACCCCCTTCAGGTCTAGCAAGAGCAGCGGATGGAGTGACGGTGCCCAAACTCACTGGCTTATTGCTGCTGGAGGGAGAGGGGAGTGCGCACTAAGTTTCTATCAAATTCATCAGCCCTGGGGTAGCTGTGTCCTGGGGGCACTGCAGTGGGCTGAGGGCTGCCCTGAGGCCAGAGGTGCGTTGGGGCTGGGGATGAGGAGTCAGCAGAGACATGCAGGAATCTATGCTCCCCACAGGGTGGGGAGAGTCGGCAAAGGCACCAGTACCAGCATGGGGAGCACCCCCCCATCTCCTTTCCTGGGGACGGCTGGGAGGGTGGGACAGCAGGCAAGATGCTTCCAGGTGATTCTCCGCCCTGCCCCCCCCCTCACATCTGGGAGGGAAATTAAGCCCTCAGCCCACTCTTTGCCCCCACCTTCCATGTGGGACCCCACTGCCACCTGGCACTGTGCACAGCGGAGCTTACCTCTGGCATGGGCTCCCCTGGCCCCAGCCCTGGGGCCCTGAGCGGACTCTGCAGTGACCCTCTGACCTGCGCAGCAGGGGGATGGCACAGCCTTGGAAGAGGTGCCTCCAGAGCCATCCACCACAGCCCCTCGTCCCGGAGACCCACCCTCTCCCAGGAGGCGCAGACCTTGTGGAAGGGCAGCGGCTCTGTCTCCTGCCTGCTGGGCTCTGAGACCTGCTGGCCGCACCGAGGAAAGTTGCTCAGCTGGCCGGGCAGGTCTGCCTTAGCAGTAATAGGACACAGGAGGGAGTGCGGGCGGGCGTGTTAACCCCTTCCTGCTGGCCAGGCAGGCGGTGCCTTCAGCGATGGGATGCCTGCCTGCTGGCTGTCTCTAGGAGTGCGGATCAGGAGCCAGTGCTGGTGACCCACTCCCACCCTGCAGTAGGTTAACCCTTCCCCTGCCTCCCCAAGAGGACTGGGCCAGTTGGATAGGGGGCTTGCACACCCACCCTGCCCCACCCTTCCTCCTCTGGGCCAGGAGGACTTTGAAGGAGAGGGCAGGATCATTCCCTGGCGCTGGCTCTTCAGTGGAGTTATCACCTTCTTGTGGGCATAGGCCCCTCTCATGGCCCCCGATTCTGCCCCTCAACACAAGGATTGAGCATCCTCCTCGCTCCAAACGTCCTTCTCCCGTGTCTCAACTGGAGGCTACTTGAGGTCCTCGAGGTATTGATCAGAAACACCAAACACAAACCCAAGGGGTTTGCTTTCAGCCTGGGGGCTGTTCTCCTAGTCCTCCAGCCTACACCTTCTCTGCATCATCAGCACCTGCTCTACAAATTCTGGAAGTCCGGCCCAGAATGATTATTACCAACAAAAAAGCAATCATGGTACCGAATTTGAGACGACACAGCGCCTTTCTTTCTGAGAGCCATCTCTCGCCACTTCAGCTCCTATAAGCAGGGGAGAGAGATGAAGTCCAGTGGCTGTTTTTAAGGCAAAAAAAAAAAAAGCTCCAGAAGGCGATGAATTGACATGGGGAAGGGGCTAAGCCAGATCCACCCAGTGCACCATGGGAAGATTAACCTTTTGCTGAGGACAAGGGCTTCTAGGGTTTAGGAGGTGTGGCAAGCATGATTCTCAGGGGCTAGGATGGGGCCTTTGAACCCAGATGAAGTGGGCAGATCTCCGGGATCCAGGTCTCAGGGGGTCTTGTCCCCCTAGTTTCTCCTTGTACTTGGCGATGATGCTTCAGGAAGACGTGGCTACAAGAAGCGTGACCCTAAAAGTGTGGGCCCAGGAAGGCTAGAAGCGGAGACTATGAGGGGTGATGCTCTCTGTCCTATCACCTAGTTCCTTGTACTGCCACCAACTTGCTCTTCTGCCCATCCTCCCACATATCACCTCCTCTGTGGTGTCTCTCTCTTCCTGCTGGATAGCTCCAGGAACTGGAGCAGGGAGTCTGAGGACAGGGTGGGACGAGGGCGGAGCTGGGTCATGAGTTGACCTCATCAAAATCCAACAACTAAGACACAAAGGCACAATGGAAATGGCAGAAAACTAAAAGTTCTTTATTGATTTGTTAACTGGCTCCCAGAAGGCTGCTTGGGCGCGCAAGTCAGTTTCAAAGATAGAAACCCTCCTCAGCATTCTTCATGGGGCTGAGCTCGTCAGCCAGGACCATCATGTCAGTCACCAGGACGTCCAGCAGCCCATAGACCTGGAAGAACAGGATGCACATCACAGGCAAAGGTTCTCTCTGTGGACAACATGTGCACAAGGGAGCACGAACCATGCTACAAGGGTGGACACAGCTACCCCCACAAGAGAACAGCTGGAGTGGGGCAAAAACCAACGCTGTGTTTCTGTACAATACTTGTTTTTGCAAATAATTTTATTTTTAAAACCAGTCTGGGGGGTGATCCTGTGCTGTGCTCCTTTGACCTATGGGGACGTTAGAGCCTACAGATGGGAGACCAGGGAGAGTGTCCACTTAGCCCTTCAGGTGGGCTTCGGCTCAGCTCCAACCCTACCTTTCCCAGAGGCCAACTTCTCTTCCTGTAAGATCCCAGATCCGTGTACTGAAAGGTCTCCGAGTGTGTGTGCTCCAAAGGGGCTGGACCACACAAGCCTAGGCAAGTTAATTCTTAATTGCAAAGAGTCGAGGGAAAGTCTACCCTTTGGGTCCTTAGAGCCCTTTAATTACTTTCTAGACCCCATCAGCCTACAGAAATCTTGGTGATGTCACCAGCAGCAAATGGAGCCTCCGATCCAATGAGATCAGGAGCGTCACTCCAATCACAGCTAACCAGCCAGACGCATCAGAGGTAGACAAAGCACCACTTTTAGACACTTGACACAGTGAGCTGAGCTTTGTGGACTTCCCCTCCAAACAACAACAACAAAACAACCATAGTAACAATAACAAAAACACCTGGGCAGATTTCTAAGGACCTGCTACTTAAGAACAGTTCATGTCCATACAAAGTCTCTCTCCAGTGTTTCCAAACCTTTACTATTGATGGAAATCCACCGTACATGGTGTTCACCTAAGGAACACATCTGTAAAGATGTGCCTAACACGGAGAGGAAGAGGAAGGAACAGAAAGAGAAGGGCATTCACTCTGTTCCCACAGAGTGTCGTTTCCAAACAGCAGCGACTGTGATCTCTTAAAGCCTAAGTCAGACCACGTCATTCCTCTAGTCAAAACTCAGTATGGCTTCTCATCTCAGAGAAAAACCCGAAGTCCTAACAATGGCCTACAATGACCTACATGGCCTGCCCCCAGGACCTGTCTGTCTCTCCTGTGGGCCTCCCGCTCCCTTGCTCCTGCCCCTCCAGACATACTGGCCCACTCTCTCCTCTGCCTACAGCATTCTTCCTGGGATGTCCACAGGGCCACTCCTCACCTCCCTTCAAGTCTTCATCGATGTCACCTTCTCAGTGGGGTCCGCCGTTGCCCCTTGCCCCTACCCGGGCTTTCCCCATTCCCGACCCCGCGCTACCTTTCTCTTTTCCACAGTGCTTATCAATTAGCATACCATATAAGTTACTTATTGATAAGATCTGTCTCCCACACTGGGATGCCCTTCACAAGGGCAGCTCTGCTTCAATCACTGATGTAAGGTGCTTACGCTTATTGTTGGTGGAGTAAATACAGTGAATGAGCGAGGGAGGGAGATGTGCAGGGCAGGTGTGAGTTAGGGGAGGACTAACTGCTGGCCTCTTCCCCTCACCTCGATGTGCAGCCTGAGGATGTATTTCTCCATGACCAAGGGGTCTATTGGTTCTTGGGAAGGGATGACACTGTCAGGGGCAGGATCGTCCAAGGAAAGCCTATCCCGACTCACAGATTTCATTAATTTCTTGTCATCCTTTGCTTTCTGCTTCTTGCTGTTTGCACGGTCCTGTTTGGAGAGTCAGAGACATGTACGCCTTCAGTGGTATCTGAGGTCCAAGGCATTCTCAGCAGCTAGCTCACTGGGAGAGCTGGGGCATCACCTGTTGCGACGGCCCACCAACCAAAAGTCCCTCCAAGGCCCTCCCGTGGTCGCCCAGCCCTTCCCGGGCCCAGGCCACCTCCTAGCATGCCTCTTTCCCTGGCAACTTGGCTCCTTTTTTATCCTCTTTGTCTTTGATTCCTAGTTGCCGCTTTTCCTGGGAAGCCCCTTTCCGCTCCTCCTTTCCCACTCTCCCAGAAGTCGCCTTCACTTCCATGACGGGAGGTGATTTCTGATCTACAGGAGTTGAGTGGAAGACAACGTGGCACTCCGTGGCCTAGATGAGGCCACAAGCATACCACGGGGCAGGAGACAAGGGGAGCAAAGGGCAAGAGCCTTGAGCCCTGCCAGCTGCTCTTAGCAGCTTCGAGGAATTACTACAGACTGGGAGCAGAGTCCACTCTGAGGGGAGCGCCTTTCCTTGAGCCCCTTGTTCAGGTGGCATGACACTGTGGAGCAGGACTGTGGGGTAGGGGAAGAGGCCTGGTCAGGCAGCCAGACCCAGGTTCTAGTCCCAGCCCTGCCACTCCCCTGTGTATGAGGTGGACAAGTCATTTACCCTCTCTGGGACTCAACCTATAGGATAAGGGAACTGAACTAAGGTGATCTTGAAGGTAGTTTCTGGCTCCCAAATCCTGGCAGCAAATGGAAGAAGGGTAGCAGGGGCCTCCTCTATCAGCTCGACCGACTGGAGGTCCTACCACAGGCACAAATGGCTGACACAACCAGGTAGAGGGGGAGGAAGACCACGTGAAGTGTGGCTGTGCCATGTCTAACCTTGCTCATCTGGCACATCCAGATAAGTGGTCTCCTTCTCAGGCAGGCCCAGCAGAGCCCTCAGCCACAGGGAGTAGCTCACCAGACTGTCAATCACATCCCGCCACAACTGCAAACTAGAGGGCAAGACAAGACATTTGAGAAGAGCCATTACCCCTCATTTGGCCTTGAACCTGCAGAAGCTCAGATCCCGCCCTTCAGAGATGTTGGTACCGGGAGCTTTCATGGAAGCATCACGCTCCTGACCAGCCGAGTCCTCACCCGCATCCCTGAAAATGCTGAGATACTTCCACCGCTGGTGCCCTCCCACATTTATTCAGGACACCAAGAGTCCCTGTGTCCTCTAGTGACAGGCGTGGCTTCCCACGGGCCACAGCCAAGGAAAAGTGGCCCAGGACTAGGGTTTGGAGGTCCCCATGAATGCAGAGTCTAAACTCCGACTTCAGTGCAGCGCCACTGGAGGGCTGAGCCACACATGGGATTTCCAGCATACGGCTCCCAGGGCTGTGCTCAGAGGACCTCGCAAAAGGTTCCCCAGCCTAGCCAAGCAGGTTCCACATAGGCAATGGGAAGGCTGACAACAGAGAAGTGAAGCATTTAATGGAGTCCACCCCTCTTCTCACTGTCCTCTGGTTTCTCCTCTTTCATTCTTTTGCTCATTGAGAAGGAATAAGGAAAGAAGAAGGAAAAAAAAAAAAAAATGACAAGGTGTTTACTCTGCTGTCACTGCTCCGAGAGAGCTATCCCAGCAGCGTGGAATGTTTACAGCATCTTTTAGCAAAGTGAGTTCAAGGGGAGCCCTGCTCTGGGACTGGCAGCCCCGGGCTTCTGGCCAGATGCCACAAAGAGGGGGTGGAAGGGGCAGGCTCTCCTGGTGGGGGCACGTACCAGGTCTGATGCAGGAAGTCAGACTGTAGTGGCCTCTGCTCCTGGCACAGCTCCAGGGCCCCTCTGTTGAGTCTGCTTAGGGCGTCTTCTCGCTGGCTCTCCTCAGGGAGGGTCATCACTGCCTGGCAGGGTCACAGGCACCATGGGCAACCACTCTGCCCAGGACATCAAGGGTCCCTGTATCCTCTAGTGACACGCATGGTGTATGGGGCACAGGGCAGGGGAACATGAACTGGGAGGGGCTGCAGCCATGGAGAGTCTGTCTGGGGCACCTTCTGTGGAAGTCTTAGAAATCTGTTCCCATGGGACCCTTATCCATTGTTTGCCAGGGTCGAGAAGTTGCCCCTCCTATGCCAAGGGAATGCTCTCTTTGGGCCATCAGAATGTTTTGTTTCTTTGCCGATAGGGCTGAGAGGGACCGCTGGGGCTCTCCCTATTTGTTCAGGGCAACAACAATCTCTACTAACACCTGCTGGGGTCGGGGAAGCACCTTTTTGAAGTCTTCCAAGCAGAGGTTCCACTCAGGCAGGGGCAGGCTCTCCAGCTCCCAGGGGCTCTTGGTGCTCTCCACGTCTAGGCTCTCCTCCACCAGGATCTCCTCCATGATGCTCTTCCACTGAGGTGGCTTGGCCACCCCTCCGGACTTCTGGGTCACCAAGGGATCTCGGGAGTCCCTGAGGGCCTCATTCTTAGACTGGGACAGTTGGACTTCCAGGACTGGGCCCTTCAAGTGTGCCGAGAGATCTGAGCTCACGGAACCCTTCTCCAAATAGGATGACTCGGCCAGGGTGGCCCGGGCCCTGGTGCTGAGCTGCTCCTCCTCACCCGGCCTGGCCTCCTCAGCCTTGGGGGGCTGGGTCATATACTGATGCCACAGTTCGTGCAGGTTTTGTACCACTTGGTGCTGGTAATGCAGCTGCAGCAGAGGCAAGGGAAGACATGTGAGGGGAAGCCTGAGCCTGAGCCAGCCCGCTCTGGTTTCCTCCCTCAAGAACACTGAGGGAGGAGGCAGGGAGGAAGCCAGCAGGAGCACCTGTGGCCAGAGGGGCTCCCCGCTTCCCCTTCACCTCAACATCTCCAAGTTAAAGCTTTTTTTTTCTTTTTTTTTTTTTACATTAGGGCTTCCAAACAAGATTGGGTTTGAATGAAGGAATTTGTGAAGCTCTGTTCTCACCGAGCATCTGCTTACTAGCTATCTTGGGAAACTCCTTAACCTCTCTGTGCCTCAGTTTCCTCAAACTAGAGTAAGAATATAAATAGTACCAATCTCACAGGGCTGCTGTGAGGAGAAAGTAAGTTACTCATGTAAGAGGCTCAGAACAGCCCTGGCACACAGAAGGGTTTGCTATTTCAATCACTCAGGCATGCACGTGGGGCGGAGGCCGATGCTGGGCCTGTACCCAAGGATTCTTATGGTGGAACAAGTCCTCCTCGGTGAGATAGGCGTCCACAGGTGATGGCGTGCGCTCGGGGGTCAGGACCCCCCTCAGCAGCTCCTGCAGCACACTGTTCACAATGGTGACGGCTTCGTGGGCAGCCAGCTTACTCTGGAAAAGAGAAGGTGGCACAAGGTGGCAGCCCGGGCTTTCAAAACCCGTGTTATATCCTTGAGGGAAGCAAGGTCCCTCAGGACTTTGTGCCTCCTCGGATGTGAGTCCCTCCTGTTTCTCTCTCATACACACACACACACACCTATTCCTGGACTCAAAAAACCTTCGTGTCTCTCCAAACATCCTTGTTACCTAAAAGAGTAGGAAAAGGAGGTAGAGGAGGGGTCCGTCCCAGAGAAGAGCTGCTCCTGTATCAGACCAGGAGGTTACGTGGCATTTCCCCATATTAGGAAGAAGGGGAAGGGGCAGGGGAAGTAGTTTGGACAATGCCAAGAGTGGTGGTAACATCTCATCTGGCTTGGCCACAGGGTTGGTGTCACAGAATCACACAGAGGGGCAGCTCAGTGAGAGTCAGGTCCTAAAGTCAGTGAAAAAAGTGGAAATGACATGTTGTCAAAATTACCTTTGATCACTGCTAGCTGGGCCCCAGCTGAAGTAGTTGGCATATGTTTGGGGGCCACAGTGAATTATAAAACACAGCTTTCCACAGAACCCCATGGAGCACAAGATGAGCACACTGTGCAGCTGACTGGGAGACAGTAGATTCCCAGGCCTCGCCTCACACTCACTCCAGGGGGTCAGCTTACTGAGTAGAATGGTGGGTAGACACGCCCCACCATTTAAAGTGTCCTCTCTGGTTTGGCTTGGCTAGGAAGTCTTGCCAGTTAAATGTGACTCCACTGTGAAGTACCAGACAGCAAAATATAGTACTGGTATTAACGGTCCTTCGTTCCATATGGATTCAAGTAAGTACTTCCATGAGGCCTGCATCTTAAGGCTCAGACTCATTTCTTTTCAACTCAGTGGGGCCCCATGCATTATGGGGCTGAAGGCTGCCCCTCCCCTTGCCTGCCCACCCATCTTTCACATCACAAAGCCCCGGGAAGCATCTGCTGGGCAAGAGTCCTTGCCTGTTTATGAAAAGCGTCAATTTACCCCTTGGATTGGGAGAGTAAGGTCTCTGCCACACTGCCAGGCAGAGTAACCTGTGCGGTGTACAAAAGTTAAAGATCCTGGGTCCCTTACCTCCAGGACCTGCCTCTCATCCTTAAAAACGTCCTGGGTCAGGGAGACTGCGTGGAGGTTCACCTGCAGGGCGGCACCTCCTAAGAGGGTAGGGTGAGTTCCAAACTCCCAAGATTCCCTGAAGATCCCAGCATTGAGAGACTTGAAGAAGAAGGTAAATATTTTAGTTTCTCCAGGCAGAATCACTCCTGAGAGGGGCAGAGAGTCAGAGGTTTCCAGTAAGTACAAGCTAGCTGAGCCCCAAGCCTGCATGTATAAAGTTAACTGAGCCCCAAGCCTGCATGTATAAAGTTAACTGAGCCCCAAGCCTGCATGTATAAAGTTAACTGAGCCCCAAGCCAATGCGTATACATTTAACTGAGGCCCAGGCAGGGTTCTAGGACTGAGGGGTGTTCCTGCGGTATGGCGCTTTCAATGCTAAAACTGGGAAGGTCCCAGGCAAACAGGGACAGTTTGTCATCCTAGCCCCAGGCCTGTGCACACAGGTAACCGAACCTCTAGACTATGTGTTTCTGCTCCCAAGTAGCTGACCTCTTTGTGATCTCAAGAGTTCCACCCTTTGCCCAACAGACAGGAACAGTTAGGCAATTACACACTTTCACAGGAGAAACAGGAGGGGCTGGGGTGTGGGGGAGGTTACTTGAACTTATACGAGCTGGGCATTGACTAGACTTTCGCTTCTCACAGACACTGAGGACAACACCAGCTTCAGCCAGGACCTGGTGAGTAGGTCAGCTTCTCCTAGGTACCTGCCCGGTTGTTAAAGTAAAACCGCTGCATCCTGTTTCTCTTCAGGTCTTGGAAAGACTGCAGCTGGGACTGCCGCTGCCAGTTGTACCAAATGGCCACAGTGCCATTATTGACCACAGTCAGTTCTGAAGATGTTTTCTCCCCTTCTAGGGTTTCAAAGGTCAAGCGGGCAGCAATTCCGATCTGACTCTGGGGAAGGGGGAGGTATGAGAAATGTCTTTGCTGGGGGCCCTGGTCTCAGGTGACCAACCTATCCCTTTTTGCCTAGGACTTTCCCAGTTTTAACACTGAAAGTCCCATGTCCCAGGCCTGCAGAGCCTAGCCACCCTCAAATAGAGTGGCACTATGTATGCCATGATAGTGGCTGTCTCTGAGGTTGCCATCAATAGTAAAAAGCAGAGATAAAACAGATTTTATATCCAAAGAACATTCATTTTTGCTTCTAGCACCTGAAAGTTCTATTCTAGAACCTTCTTAAAGCAATACCTGTTTGGGGTGGTTTGTTTACATGCTTGGGGGCTAGGTACAAACTGGATAGCTTGTGACACTCCCTTTTCAGCCTTGTGATTTTATTCTTATTCAAGTTAGTGTTGCTGTTACCACTTTCAGAGGTGCTGATCCTGTGACCAGATAAAAAGGCAAACAGGAAACAGCACAGGCTCCTTGTGAAAGTTACAGTCACCTTGGGATTGCACCACAAGGGAGCCCTTCCAGCAGGTGGGTGAGGGTGAAGGCTGTTTTACCTTGTCCTTTGGGTTACTGCCTCTGATCCAGCAAGCTGGCTTCCCACAGAAGAGCAGGGAAGGGCCAAGAACAGGCATGAGGGTCACATCAGGGTAACTGGCCATTACGTCTCTGGAAGAAAAACCAGTGACTTGTTTTCCTTGAAGCTGCCATAGTCATGCCACATGGAGCCCACAGAAATGGCTGCCAGGAAGTCTGAGAAGTGACCAGCTCTGCACTCCAATGGTATACGATCAGTCACACTGCAGCCTAGATTCCTCCTGACCCAATTCCTTCTGGTGGGAGGTTCTTAGAAATCCAGAGACTCTTCAAGCCCTCACGACGGAGCCATCCACTACATACAGCAGTGGGGGAGTCTGGAGGTGCCCCATTTAACAGCAAAGGAATGTCTAGGAAATCCCCACTAGGAGTTGGTTGCTAGAAAGGAGCAGATGGAAATGGAAAAGCTAGCACAGGTGCTGGGATGGACTAGAGGAGGAGGTGGCAGCCACCAGAGAGAGGCTGGGATGGAGGCACCCTGATTTCAGGAGGGCAGCCTGTCCTTTAATGCTTGGGATGCTGGGGAAGCCACACACTCTTAGCCTCTCTCCCTAGGGCCCAAGCCTGACTCACGAGCTCACTGTGTCTTCAGAGGAGCTTTCCTGGGTACTTTCAAACAGTGGATAGTCTTCCACCGTAACAGCTGAGAAAGGCTGCCCTTTGCCCACCACCTCCAGGCCATCAATATCCTCAGAGAGACCAGAAAGGAAAGATTAGCCAAATGAAGACAGGTACCACCCAAAAGAGCTTCAGCCTGGGGCTTGGGGCATTACCAACCTGCTGGGTAAAATTCAGCTCAGCCAGGAGGCTCTTCAGCTCCTTGCGTCGGTAGATCAGAAATAGACTCCGATCCCAGGTATAGCGGTACCAAGCATCCTTCTGGGCCGGTAATCCTACAGCAAGGTCCAAGGACCCTGAGCAAAGGCCGCTGCCTTGCCCCCTCCCCACTACTACTTGAGGGCTCTGAGTGTGCCCTCCCCAGCACCATTTCTGGGAAGGGTGAAAATACAGCTTTCCCGTGCCCACTGGACTCCAGTCCTCCTGCCCCAGACCTCAGCAGTGCTATACAGAACTCCTGAAAAATTGGTTTCCACAGAGCCGGATCTTGGCATTGTAATAATACAAACAATAGCAGTTACCTTTTATTGAGTGCTTACCACGGGATCAAAAAAAAAACCAAACCCGACTGATAGCAACCCTATAGGACAGGGTAGAACTACTCCATAGAGTTTCCAAGGAGCAGCTGGTGGATTCAAACTGCTTACCTTTTGGTTAGCAGCCATAACTCATAATCACTATACCACCAGGGCTCCTACCACAGGGAAGGACCTCTTAATACATATGTCTCATTTAACCCTATAATGATTTACAGATGGGGAGACTGACGTTCAGAGAGGATAAATAACTTGCTTGAGGTTACCAACCTAATGCAGCTGGGATCTGAACCCAGGCAGTCTGGCGGGCTCAAAAGCCGTGCTGCCCGATAGACATAGGGGAACCACAGAAGCAAGCTACGTGTGTAATTGAAAATGTTCTAGTAGCCACATTTAAAACAGTAAAAAGAAAAATGGAATTAATTTTAATACTACAATTTATTTAACCCAACATACCATTTCAACATGTAATCAATATAAAAATTATTAATAAAATAGATTTCTTTTCATCCTAATTTTTGGAACCCAGTGTGTATTTTGCACTAACAGCACATCCCAATTCAGACTAGCCACATTTCAGGTGCTCGGTAGCTACGCGTGGCTCACAGCTGCTGTACTGGATGGTGCGGCTCCACAGCCTACACTCTTGCTCTGTTTCTTCTAATATTTCTATCACCATTTTACTGAAGAGGAAACTGGAACTCAGGAAAGTTATGTGACTTGCCTAAGGTCACACAGATGTAAGTGACTGAACCAGGATTTGATCCCAGGTTTGTCTCGCACCAGCCATGCTGGTCACCACCACACTGTCCCGCCTCCTAGGCCAACCACAAGATGTCCTTCTCCTCACCCATCTCCTCCCGGATGGACTGGGGCTTCCTGATGTGAGTGATTGGTTCCATAAGGCCACGCTGAATTTTTGTCTTCGTCATGGTCAGACCTGTCATTTCATCTCCCACGTATTCCAGTTGATTCCAGAACCCGCTGCTCTCCTCACAGCACTGGCAAGGAAGAACAGCGAGAGTCAGGTCACCCCGACACCTTGGGGAGGTACTGGTGGGGAGCCTGAGAGGACAAGAGCATGCAGACTGCAGATGCCCCCTCTGGGGAATTCATCATTGCCATCACTGGAGAATTCATGGCAGAAGGGAAGCATCTGCTCTCTTGTTTTCAGGATGCCCCGTTGTAATCTTTACCTGCCTCCCAGAAAGATGGTGTGGGTTGGTACAGGCACTGCACTGAGACACCGCAACACAGTATGGTGTCGTTGATAATGCAAAAGATGAGACAGATGCTAAGACCATTCTAATAATTCAGTACCGGTGATATCTTCCTCTTCAAACTGACCACCACTCACCACCACAGGCTGAATGACTTAATTGACCAATCTCTACCCCCGCAAAAAAAACAAACCAAACCAGTTGCTGTCAAGTTGATTCTGACTCATGGCAACCCCATGTGCGTCAGAGTACCACTGTGCTCCACAGGATATTCAATGGCTGATATTTTGGAAGTAGACTGTCAGGCCTTTCTTTTAAGGAGCCTCTGGGTGGACTCCAACCTCCAACCTCTCAGCTGGCAGCCAAGCACTTAACTACTCCACCCAGGGACTCCAACCAGTCCCCAAGCACCCAATAAAAGGATCAATGATGTCTTTTGGTAAAGGTTTGAGGGCATTATAATGCTTTGCAACGGATAGATATTCTTCTCCCCAACTGTGCAATCTGAGACGCACCATCCCTTTGTTCAGACCCCCTCCTGACAGGCATTTGGGAGAGGCACTCCCTACCTTCCCATCATGCTGCGTAGGAAGGACACGATCAATGAGCTCCCGCTCCTCCTGGATCTGTCTGTAGGTCTCCCCGGTGTGCATCAGCAGCTCGCTGACGGGCTTCTTCAGGTGTTCTAGAGACAGCGAGCCAAGGATGCAGCCCCTCCACCAAACCAGAACAAACAGGGGCCTGAGCACCCACTCACTGGGTGAGTTTTAGGACCCACTAAGGCTTAAGAGCACAGCAGTTAAGAGCTCGGCTGCTAACCAAAAGGTCAGCTGTTTGAATCCACCAGCCGCTCCCTGGAAACCTTATGGGGCAGTTCTACCCTGTCTTATAGGGTCATTATGAGTCGTAATCGACTTGGCAACGGGTTTTTTGGTTTAAGGCTTAAGAGTAGGAAGCACTTGGGAGTAAATGGCACAGACTCCATCAGCATCAGCCTGAGTCCAGGCTCTGGACAGGTGTGGGAGAGAGAAAAACAGCAGAGCCTCGATGCCAGGTGGAGGCCAGGCGGGCGGCCTGTCAGCTTTGCTCACCACTGAGGGCTTCCTGCTGCTTCTTCCACAGGGTGATGTGGCGCTGCCAGTTTTTCAGAAAGTTGTGTTGAGGAGGTGGGGCCCAGAGACGTGTCTTTTCTGCTTTAGGTTTCTTTTGCTCTGGCTCTTCTTTTGCTGAGATGAGGGCCATCAGACAGGGTGGGGTGTGTATCAGTTCAGCCAGCTGAAAAGTACAACGTGAGTGTGTGGAGGATGGTGAGAAGGCGCTGAACTGGGGGCCGACCAGAGATTTCATGAGGCCGGCGTCCCAGCCATGGGTCGTCCCACTCCTGCTGAGAAACCTCTTCTCCAGGACCCCAGGGTAGCAAGTGCAGAGGACAAATCACAAGAGCCAGAGGGCTTGGAAGCTGCTGTCTGTCCCATCTTCCCCAGAATGGGAACCTTTGTTCTAAGATTGTGGTCAACATCTTTTAGTGGGTCTGTTCCCCTGACAACTGACGCTAATTAATTGACACCTTCACCCACAGGCCCCCAGGCCCCTTAGCACCTGACCAATCAGAGGGTCTTTGCCTAGAATCAGGGAAGCAAAGGAACTGAGCGACAGGGAGAAACACTGCATATGGGAAGGTCAGAAAGACAGACAGACTCTGCATGTGGCCCTGGGAGCTGTGGGAAGCCACCCTCCACCACCATGGACCGAGAAGGAGAGCTGGCCAGTCTTCGGAGAAAGGTGAATGAAGCCGGTGCACAGAGGAGCAGAGGGAGAGGAGGGAGCGCAGTCCTGAGCCTGAGGCCCTCCCACGTGCAGTCTACTCAGAGCCAGATGCACCCTGGTCTTTGGGTTTATGAGGCATCCCTGTGTCCTTATAGTAAACCCTTCCCCCTTCAGCTGAAGTCAGCTAAGAGTGGCTTCTGTGACTTGTAACTAAAATGTCCAACTATTTTGTGGGGACAGTCGCTTATCATCTTGGACTTAAGGCCCAGAGACTGGACTGTCTCTTTAACTCCAGTCCTGCCTGACTGACAGGTGGCGAGGCTGCAATGACTCCAGTGACTTCTCTCACCCAGGCAGCTCTGTACAAACAAACCTGGGTGTTCCCTCGAGCAAGTGCAATTCTCTTAAAGTCCTGAAGACTCCCCAAGATATGGTGCGGCAGGATCTGTTCACTGTCATCGAAGCTGTCACCTGGGCCTGGGGGGAAAGAGGGAAGGAGAAAGACAAGCCATAGATAGCTGATGTAAGCCCTTCAAGGGGGTCACTTCTGATAAGAGACCTGCCTCAAAGACCTGGCATCCAAGACCAGAGATGCTAGGGCCAGGTCAGCATACCGGAGTAGTCCAGGGGCTTAGTGGCTGCGTCTGGAGTGGCAGGATGTGCTACTAAGTGGCAGATCTTCCTCGTAGAGTCCTTGGGTTTGAATTTACGGATGATAACTTTCTGGGTAATGGCAGGTTTATCTTTCGTTCCTGGGCGAGGAATGTGTTGCTAAAAAGAAACAAAATGGAGTAGAATTCCACCTAAGATTGGGAGGAAGAAAAACAGTACCCCATCTCCTTTGTTCTAATTCTTGGTGGAATCACTGAGGGCTGACAAATCGGTTTCCCCAGCTCTGTCCATATGTTCTGTTAAGGAAAAACCTGAGTAACAGACATGAGATTCAGTGATGTCCTGGGGAAAAAAATAACACTGTATGCCTCCATGTCTGGTGAGAAGTGGCTGACTTTTCCAGGGGGCTGGCATTTATCAGCTTTATCTCTATCTGTAACTTTGCTCCTTGGACTCATTTTCCCATCCGTAAAATGGGGGTGAGGGCACCTGCTTTAGTGGGAAACAATATACCTTATCATCTCATTTCCCCTGCAATTCTGTATGAATCTCAAAAATGTTACAGCAACAGAATAGATTTCTTTAAATACTAAACCCATTGCCATCGAGTCAATTCTGACTCATAGCAGTCCTATAGGACAGAGGAGATCTGCCCCATAGGGTTTCCAAGGAGTGCCTGGTGGATTTGAACTGCCAACCTTTTGGTTAGCAGCAGTAGGACTTAACCACTACACCACCAGGGTTTCCAAATGCTAAAGTGAAAGGTATCTGTGTTCAATGGATTTTTCCATGGCATTAGACACTCCCTCTATGAGTAGGGAGCCAGTGGCGAGACAGTGGACTTCGTTGATGTTCTAGACCACACAGGTCAGCAGGGAAAGTTCAGGCAGTAAGGAAACCCTAGGCTGCATCTTTACCTTCTTTAAGTCTTCCTTCTTAATAGCTAAGGCAAGGATGTCATCTCCTTGTAGGACATTGCTAATAGGCTCTGTTTCTTCCTGAATCGGGGGTGTGGGCTGCTCAGGTAGCTTTGCCCGCTTCTTTTCTGAAAAGCAGCAGAAAGTTACAAGTGATTAAAGAGTTCTTTCTGTAAATATAAAAATATATATATTAGACTCCATGGTGGGGACAGAGCTGACCACCTGGACAGAGAGCAGAGGTGCCTGGGCAGCACCTCCCTGGGGCAACAGATCTCCCTTGAAGGTCTTCTGCCCCACTCCCCCTGGCCCTCCACAATGACTGAGGCTGCTGTAGCCCAAATTGAAGTCAGAAGACCTATGTACCAGTCCAGGCCCTGCAGCCTACAAGGTGGACAGCCTTGGGTACATCACTTAACCTTTCTCTCTAGGCCTCAGCCTTCCCATTTGTAAAATGAGGAGGCTGGACTAAATCAGTGGTTCTCAAATATCAGTCAATGTCTGCCTCAGAATCTCCTGGGAAGCTTTACAAATACAGCTTCCTGACTCCTCTGTGGCCCCAAGGCCTGGGGAGCCGTATCTTTTTAAGCTCCCCACGTAATTCTGATGCACAGTGGTTTGGGACAACTGGACTAGATGCTTCCTCAGCCTCCTTCAGTGCTGGCATTCATCCACTCTTCTGGGTTAGGGAAGACCATTCACTGTTGATCATGTATTTCACTTTATTTCATTCAATAAATATGATGTAAGCATTTTCTATGTGTCAGGCACTGAGATACAAGTAGGTGTCTCAGACCTCAAAGAGGGCCCAGTGGAGAGACAGACTGTCAAACAGACTAAACTAAGGTTACTCTGGGAGCACTCGGGAGCCTCAGCCCAGTCTGTGGGTTTTTCAGGGGGGGCTTCCTACAGAGATCATGTCTGAACTGAGAACTAAAGGATGGAGAGAAGTGAGACAAGGGAAAGAGCACTGGGGAACAGGCATTCCAAAGGGAATAGCTTTACAGAGACTGGAGGTGAGACAATAGGGCACATTCCTGGAACTCGAAGCATGAATTTTTAAATAGCTGGAGTGTAGCACAGTGAGGAGGGAGGCAGAGTGGGGGCAAGAAGCAGTGAGCCTGGAGAGGGAAGTAGGGGGCCATATCACGAAGAGCTTTGTGAACCGTGTTAAGGATTTTAGTCTTTACCCCGTGGGCAATGATATGGTGGGGAATCGATAGGGGGTATAAGATTGAGGAAGAGATGATTTAGGAGTCTCCTGCAGTAATGAAGTGATTGATGATGATAGTAGTTTATGGCAACGGAGGAAGTCAGAGAGATTTGAGTCATAAGTCTCATGTGGCAGCCTTAGCACGCCTTTGAGAACACATGGGGTAGAAGCAGGTTACCTCCAACAAGGACACACTCCTTGTCTTCCTTCCACAGAGATGGGTTCACAGTTTCAAATACAAATTATTTCTCTGGTTGGTACCCTCCACTCCTCAGCCCTCTGGTTAAGAATGGTTTGATCTGAGACCATACACAAAATAAAAGAAAACCTAAGTCCTGCCAAACTAAAACAGAATATGGTTTTGTCTACTGCTCCTCAAAGTGCCTTCACCTCTAATTTTTAAGAGGCAATATCACTAAAACACCAAGGCAGGTGTTTTGTCAACAAAAATCAAACTATTTTTTTTAGGAAATGCCCACATAGTGACAAAAAAAAAAAAAAAAAAAGCCAGAATCATTTCAAACATAAGTCAAAAATCTCTAAATTCAGCCTATCTGCCACACTCCAACTCCTAAGCAATGGGGTCAGTAGAAACTCAGGCATATCTGTCGGTTAAATTGTGTGGCTCTGTGCACACATGCATGCACATGCATACACACACACACACACACACACACACACACACACACACACACACGGCTGAGCAGTTCAACCCTCATAAATGGGATCCAATCTGCCACCATGCATGGAGATGTAGCCTTAGGTTTTGATTTCTACTTCCCCTCCCCTTTCTACATAAAGTCACCAAAGTTGGTGGCAGCCCAAGAGAACTGTTACCAGTTGAAAGTCTGCTTTTACAAATATTTTTGAATTATTTCTATTTTCCAGAGCATTTGCTTCCTCTGTCACCTTGGCTGGTTCTCCATCTTCCCAAAAGACTAAACATCTCCAGACTTGTGCTTCTTACTGATGGCTGTCTAATCACTCCATGTAAATTCATAAACTTTCAAAATTGCTGAAGATTTTCTGAGGCCAAAGCTCCCATCTCTTCGAGTGACAGAAAAACTAATTTTTCATGTTTGTTTCAGACTGAAGTAGTCAGTAAATCTCTGGTCTGAGGTTTTTCTGAGAAGTTATCTTGAATATAGTACAATAAATGCTCACATTAGTCCGAGAATGGTGTGTTCCAGTTAATAAATACTCATAAAAAATTATAAATTCATCCCAGAGAATATATATTAAGCACCTTTCTTGGCTACAAACTACAAGGAAGATGCTATGAAATGTTAAGATATGGTCCTTTGCTTGAGGAAATAAAAAATGCCACAAGTACAGACATACACACACACACCCCCCAATCAACAAAATATGTACTTAAATTATGGGCACAGGCAACAGGTTCGGTTGTCTTCTAGTAAGGGAGAAAACAAAGTGGATCACAAAGTTTACAGCTTCAAAGAAAGGTTCAGAGGAGCAGCTGCAGGGGTCAGAAGCGGCTTTATAGGCTAAGTTAGGGTTGGAGGACAGGAAGGCTTTGCACAGGTGGAGCAGCAAATAGAGGTGTTCCAGGTGAAGCAAAGGTATTCCAGTCAGAGCAAAGGCAGAGCTGAGTGTAGCATGTGTGTGGCATGGTGACAGTGAGGGCTTATTGGGAAGGTGGGGGGTGATACTGGGGATGAGATGGGGACCAGGGCATGACGGCTTCGTAAAGTATGGCTGAGGCACCTGATATTCTTCCTGTTCCCGGAGTGAGTTGATGAAAGCAGCATTTCAGAGTGTTTTATCCAATGAGGGTGAGCCACATGGACTGGAGGAGTGGATGCAAGCTGCCAGATCAGGGAGGGACAATCCCCTGTGGGTCACTTCAGGATCTGCTGGAGGGAGGATTCTGCAAGGTTGAAGTGTGTCTCACTGCTGAACCAATGGAGGCCCAGCTATTTCCTGTCATTTACCTTGGTCCTGTCAGGCCTAAAGCTGAAGTGTGTTCTTCGGCCTGGAAATCTGAGCTGAGTGGGGGGCTCCTGGTAAGCCCTTGATCCTGACAGCTAAGTGGTTCAAGGAGACCTTTCAGGGGCAGTCAGGTGACACCTCTGCTGGAGCTAGGCCAGGCAGTAGGTGCTCAGGAGGGTGCCCATAGAAGTGGTACTAGCTTCTGAGGTACCAAAGCAGACCCCTACTCAGACAAGCACTGCCAGGGGAGGTGGGTAGGGAAGAAGCTATGGAGGGAGAGGAAACCTGGACTCTGTTTTTCTGCTTCTTGTCTTATCTAAATTTTATTCTTTTCTTTTTTTTTTTAGTGTTGATTAAAGTCTTTGGGAAATTCTGACCTCATGGTTGTGCTGGGGGAACCAAGGGAGGGGTTGTCCCTACCAGTGGTGTCACTAGGGCTGGTATCACCCAGTGTGGTAACTCATGGTGTCACCCCCCCTCCATGGATATACATGTAAGTTTATTATCAATTTTAATCATAGATTAATATGTGATAAATATAGTTGCAAATTGCTTAAATGTAATATTTCTTAGATTATGTGAATACTAAACAAAATGGTTTTGTAAAATCTTTCTACATTGAATTACAACATTATTAGTAACTAAGTGGAAGCCTTTCTTGATTTTTCTGCTTTTCCTGTCATTACTACTTCATTCTCAAAAAAGTGATAAGTGATTGTTACAGGTTCACAAATACTAATTACCACGGCATTGTAGCTAAACAGCAGAAAATTTGGCAAAATCAGCAACTATAAAACACCCACAGCAATGAAAACAACAGTGCGTGCTTATAGCACAGACAAAACCACGTGATTCGAAGCAGCATTGTAATTGGGTAATAATGACAGTTCTGACTGATGGCATTAAAAGGTTCAGAAAGTAAATTAGCATAGAGTTTTAGCCTTGTAGGTATATTGAAACATGTAAGCTGGGTTTACCAAAAAAAATTTTTTTGTTGTTATAACTACAGAGATATTTTTATTAAAAAATAAATTTCTGCTGAAACACTGCACAAAAATTCTATAGACAGTCATTTTGGTGTCACCCCCTCTGAGAGTGTCACTCAGGGTAGTCTGTACCCCCTGCACCCCTTGAGTGACGCCACTGGTCCCTACCAGGGCAGAGCTTTACTCAGTGGAGGGGAGAGGAGGAGAGGACTCTGGTACTGCTGGGAGTCTGAGCAACAAGAGCAGGGAGAAAGTTGGGAGTCAAAATGGCTCAGGTCCCTAAATAGGTTTGTAGCCACAAAATTTGCTTGCCTTTTTTCTTATAATTCAGAAACCTTGGAGAACAAATAGCACAAGATTACAAGACTGCATCTGTTGATTAGCTGCATTTTATTGAAGGCAAAAGTATTGCCCTAGTACTACATTAGAGGCTTTGCCTGAGCTATTTAGTGGCGGAAGATATCTTGCATGCTAAACAGTGCATGTTCTTAACTCAAGGGTTATTTAAGCAAACTAAGTTTCCTCTTATTAAAAATAAATATGCAGTGAAAAATCTTTCCTTGATTTATTTACAGCCAAAAGTTCAAATCAGATAAGATCTCCCAGAAAACAGGCAAGTAGGAGGCAGGATCGAGGAGAGCCCTTGACTGCCCTTGGGAAAGGCAATCAGATATTCTCTCTCTCTCAACTATTAAAGAAGTATAGCATGAAACAGCATCACAATGCAGCCGAAATCCGACTTTTGTACTATGAAGAAGCATAAAAGAATGCCATGCTGAAAACCAACTAAGCTCTTGCTAGCTTTCCAGGCCTCCCATGGGGCCCCAGTGACTCCAGGCCTGACCCTCTCATCACACAAAGCTTTCTCCTCAACTTTGAGGGATGGTTTCCCCAGGGCCTGCAGGAGCACACCGGACTTTTTGACATAACCCGTAAAGCCCTTTCAGGACCTGGCCCCTGCCCACCTGTGCAGCCCCCTCTGGTTCCTTCCCGATCCTTCTCCACACTCACCCCTCTGCCCTGGCCACCCGTGCCATACGTGCTCACAGTTCTAGGCCTCAGCTCATGCTGCTCCCTTGAACTGGAAAAACAACCCCTCCCCGTTTCTTTTGGTTGGCCACAGATGTCACTTTCTTCAGAAAACCTTCCCCCCAGCTCTATCATCCAAGTCCTGGTTCAGGTGCTCTGAGCCCCCTTAGCTCCCGACAGATGCCTAAATCACAGCATTTACAACACTGCATTCATTATCTTTCCACATTCTTCTAGTTACTCTTCTGTGTCTCCACGAGACTGAGTTTCTTGAGGGCTGAGACCATACAGTTAATACTGATACCACTGGTGCCCAGAACAGTGCCCACGCATAGCAGGCCCTCAATAAATGGAAACAGCAAAGAAAGATCTATGAAGGAGTGGGCTGCACATCAGAGGATGTCATGGTAGTCAGTCTGCTGTCAGTCACCTGTGGCTCTCCCGCCTGTAACCAGAGGCCGGGAAACAAGTTATGTCCAGTGGCTATCCACACTAAACAAGCTGGACAAGTGTCATCCGACCGGAAAGGGCACATGGTGGGAAAAGGCAGACACAGGACTAGCCACGTTAGGCATTTCTCCTGGGTTTTTCTGCCAGGACTCCCAGCTGACACCCCCCACAAAGAACCGCCCCGGCGTGTTTCTTGCATTCTTCCCTGATTCCTTTCCCAAGAACCTCATTTCCTTGCCCTATTAGCCTTAAACTCTCCTCTAGCAATTCTGCACGCCACTTGGTCAGGGGATCCTGCTTCCTGTGTCCCACCCTAAGACAGTGGTTAGAGGCAGGGATCTCCTACGCCTTCCTACCCAATGCCATCTCCCCGACAATTGATCCCTGAAACTCCTCTGTCAGCCCCCCACTTCCTGTGTCCCCACCCCTAAGGCCCGGTGCTCTGTGCCCCCTCCCCTGAGAGTCCCTGCCTTGTACATCATCTCCAAGGCCCAGTGCACAGTTTATCATTCCCAAGGCCCAATGCCCTATGCCCCCTCCCTTAGGGAGTGTCCATCTTGTACATCATCCCCAAGGCTCCTGTATCCTACACCCCATGCCCCAGTGGTCTTTACCCATATTTCTGGTGTACCCCATCTTCCAAGCCCCACCTGCAGACTCCCATCCCAAAAACCCCTGCCCTGTCCAGTTCTCCTGAGCTCCCAAGGCAGCCAGCGCCGACCTTTCAAGCTCTCTGCAGACTCCAATAATCTGTTTGTTGGTATTCTGAGGCGGGATTCCTTCTTTAGAGACTTCATGGTGCCGCCCAGGCTGTGAACTCGGCCCTGCGCCGCCTGTACCCAAGGCTACGTAGCTGGGGGCAGCCCCGGCGACCCCGCGAGCGCGCACGCCTGCCAGCGGCCGCTGCTGTGTCCATAGCAACCCGCGCCCCGCGCGGGGACGCGCACTCACCGAACAACTTGGGCGGAGACTGCTTGGACACAACCTTCTTCATCATCTGGCCGCGCCCAAGCCGCAGGCAGCTCCTCCTTCCAGCCGCTCCGAAAAGCGCCCTAGGCTCTGGGCCGTGATGTCACAGAGGGCGCCAGCGAGCGCCGTGACGTCACCAGCACGGTAGGGGCGGGGCGAGGCGAGGCGATTCTGCTCGCCGCGGGCCGAGTGAGACGCCGCGTTGGGGGGTGTTGTGGGAACTGGGCGATCTTACCACGGGAGCCGAGCGGGGACAAGGGGAGACGAGGCGACACAGGGTATAGGGGCTGCGTGACCCGCCCCGCCCTGCTACTAGGCGAGGGGGCGTCCCGGCTGCCAGCCCCTTCCCTGGACTCCCGCCGCGGCCTGCCGACCAGCCTGCCCGCTTTCCCTTTGCCCCGCCACAGAGCTACCACAGGGATCGTACTGTTCACCACGTGCTAAAAACTCCTGAATAGCTTCCCGTGGGTGTTAGGTGCCCGATGGCCCCTGCCTGCACCCCACCCGCGCCTAGTGACCTTCGCCCCCGCTCGCGCTCCGCGGCAGCCGCTCGGGCCTTCATCACTTCCCAAACAAGCCAAGTTTTTACCCTGACCTGGGGGCCTTCTCATCCTACCGGTCTCAGTCTTTGGAGATGCTGACCTCGGCCCCCCTCCCCCAGTTTAAAATAGCCCTTCTCTGTATTCTCCAGTTTATAAACGCACCGGTTTATGTTTTCCAGAGCGCTTTAATGCAGTCTGCAGTTATTTTGTTTATGTGGTTGCCTGCTGTCAGGCGTGCTGTCAGAATGTAAGCTCCTTGACAGCAGGGATCGCCTGTCCCTGATCCCCTCAACCCAACGTTTAACACATAGTGGTCACTCAGTAACTGTGTGTCAAATAATGAAGGGACTCTGCAGCCAGACAGAACCTGCTTCCAATCCCAGCTCTGCCTGCTTGCTAGTTGTGTGTTCTTGGGACAGTCCCTTGACCTCTCTGCACCACAGTTTTTTCACTTATAAAATGGAGGTCATAATGCTTCTCTCACAGGGCCACTGTGGGATTAAATAAGATTATGCGTTTAAACTACCCAACACTGTGCCCTCCGTAAACTAGTGTCTTCCCAGTTCTGAGATGATGGGGATGTACTTTGTACCCACTGTACAGACGGAGACACTGAACCTCAAAGAAGAGAAGAATATAAAGTCACCTGACTAGCAAGAACCACAGCTTGAACCCCATTCAACCAAGTCCAAGGCCAGTGCTCTATGGACCCCGTCTCCTGGGCCATTTCTGAGTTTTGCAGCAGTCTACCCCAGACAGGGGAGGAGCTAGGGAGGATGCCAGCAGGGCTGGCCAATCCCTGGGCTCTGTTGATTCCCCACTGGGCCCCTCCCCAGGGGCATGGCCCCTTGCCCATGCCCCTCTAGACCTTCACTGCCCTTATGACTGAGGACAGCATCTCTTCTCCTGCCCTCCCAGTCACCAAACTCCCTCTCCCCTCTAGGGAGTCTCCAGTTGAGTTTACTCCATGAACACCGACTGCGCACTTATGATATTCCAGGCTGGGTGCTGTGTCATCTAAGTCCTCCCAGAAGCAGACACTGAGATGGAGATAGTGCAAGAGGTTTTTTGGGGGAAGGGGCAGTTGTTGTTAGTTGCCGTCGAGTCGGTTCCAACTCATATCAACCCTGTGTACAACAGAACGAAACACCACCCAGTCCTGTGCCATCCTCACAATCATTGTGCTTGAGCCCATTGTTGCAGACACTGTGTCAGTCCATCTCGTTGAGGGTCTTCCTCTCTTTCCCTGACCCTCTGCTTTACCAACCATGAGGTCCTTCTCCAGGGACTGGTCCCACCTGATAACATGTCCAAAGTATGTGAGATGAAGTCTTGCCATCCTTGTCTCTAAGGAGCATTCTGGCTGTACTTCTTCCAAGACAGATTTGTTTGTTCTTCTGGCAGTCCGTGGTATAGTCAATATTCTTCATCAACACCATAATTCAAAGGCATCAATTCTTCTTCAGGATTCCTTATTCATTGTCCAGCTTTTGCATGTACACGAGGTGATTGAAAACACCATGGCTTAGGTCAGGCACACTTAGTCCTTAAAGTGATACCTTTGCTTTTTAACACTTTAAAACTTTTTAACACTTAAAAACTGATGCATCTGTGAGTTTGTCCTACTCTGGGGGCTTGCGTGTTGCTGTGATGCTGGAAGCTATGCCAAGGTATTTCAAATAACAGCAGGGTCACCCACGGTGGACAGGTTTCAGCTGAGCTTCTAGACTAAGACAGACTAGGAAGAAGGACCTGGCAGTCTACTTCTGAAAAAAATTAGCCAGTGAAAACCTTATGAATAGCAGCAGAACATTGTCTGATATAGTACTGGAAGATGAGCCCCTCAGGTTAGAATGTACTCAAAATACGATTGGGAAAGAGCTGCCTCCTCAAAATGGAGTTGACCTTAATGACGTGGATGGAGTCAAGCTTTTGGGACCTCCATTTGCTGATGTGGCACGACTCAAAATGAGAAGAAACAACTGCAAACATCCATTAATAATAAGAACATGGAATGTACAACGGGGGGGGGGCAGTGGTAAGGCCTGTAAATGATGAAGGGGAAGGAAGCAGGACTAGGCTGAGAGAGCTTCAGACTGTGATGCAGATCTGACAAAGCCTTGGCCAACCCAATGGGAACCTATGGGCAAAGAATGCTCATTAGACTCGCGTTGGGCAGAAATAGCCAGGCCCTAGTAACCATGTTGTGCTCACTCATTGGCTGGAGGCTGCCTGAGAAGAGCGTGGCCTTAGCTAGAAAGTTGAGGTGGATGCTGAAGGTGATGGAGCTGGAGGCTGTCAGCTAACTGCCCTCCTTGCCGGTGAACTGCAAGTTCTTTCCTGAAGATGGATAAGAGCAGCTCACCTCCATGGCTGCCATAGGAGCTCTGGGAGATATGGAGGAAAATAAGAAACACTTCCTCTTACCCTCTAGGAGCTCAGAGGCCACTAAAGGAAAAGATGAAAATCCACTGCCGTCAAGTCAGTTCTGACTCACAGCGACCCCATAGGGTTTCCAAGGCTGTAAATCTCTACAGAAGCAGACTGCCACAGTTTTCTCCCGCAGAGCCACTGGTGTTTCAAACTGCTAACCTTTCAGTTAGCAGTGATTGCTTTAACCACTGCACCATCGGGCCTCCTGAGGAAAAGACAGACCCTCATGAAACTCTAGAAGGCGTTTTAGCTTTGGAAAGTTTCATAGCTTGTGGGTAGCTGGGCCAGGAGCAGGACAGAGGCCTGGGGGCCACGAAGAGAGGGTTCAGTTGAGGTTAGAGGACAAGGGAAGGAGGGAGTGGGGGGGGTGGCTGGTCAGGAGTTAGGGCTCTACCACCAGCCCCTGAGTGACCTTGGACAGGTCTCATCCCCATTCTGTGCCTCAGTATCACCATCTGCATCATGAAGGCGTTGGAGCAGATCAGAGCTGCTAGCCATTTGAGAATCTGATCAAAGCTAGGAACCCTCTCCCGAAAATGTGCGTTTGAAGTTTTTTTTCATTGCAGTAAATTACACATAACATAAAATTCACTGTTTTAACCATTTAATGTGTATAATTCAGTGGCATTTAGTTGAGCAACTCATAATGTTGAACAACCATCACCCCTGTGCAGTTCTAGAACATTTTCATCACCCCAAAAAGAAATCCTGTGCCCATTAAACAGTTACTCCCCATTCTCCCCCTCCCCAGCCCCTGACACCCAGTAATCTGCTTTCTGTCTCTACGGATTTGCCTGTTCTAGACATTTCAGATAAATGGAATCATACATTATGTGGTCTTTTTGAAACTGGCTTCTTTCAGTTGGCATAGTGTTTTCAAGATTCATGCATGCTGTGACATGAATGAATCTTTTTCTGGCTGAATACCCAGCCGTATGGATATACCACATTTTGTTTATCCATTCATCTTCACATTTGACTTTGCACACGATTTTGCATTCAATTCCAGAAATTACCTGACGCTCATACATGTGCCCCTGGGGGGGTGGTGGATGAGGTCAGTGTCCATCAGACATAGAGCTGGGTCATCTGAAAGAGGATTTCCAGCTTTAATGAACGCACTCAGGGGTAGTGATTAATTGCAACTTGGGGACTGTGGAGTGGACATTAGGGGGGCCTTCTTAGAGGAGGTGGGCCACTAAAGTAAGAGTTTAACAGGCAGGCAGAGTGGAAGGTCACTCCAGGCTGAGGACCCAGCAGGAGCAAAGGCCTGGAAGGGTGAAGCACAAGTTCAGGGACCAGCATCATTAGCTGGCAGAGCTCTAGCAGCCTCCTCCCAGCAAGGCAACTCTGAGCAACTTCCTCAAGCCCAGAAGGAGGTGGGTGGGTTGACAGAGGACACAACATAGATTATTGCTTCATGTCTGTTTATTTCCACCTAGCCAGGTACTGAGCATGTTGTCAGCTACTCTTTCCAGTGGCTAAACAGCTTCCCTAGATAGACAACATGTTTCCTCCACAGGCTGCATCATCCACTTCCCAGGGACAGCCAACCTCCCAAAGCCCAGGCTGGGGCAGTCTGCTTCAAACCCCTCACACTGACTTTACCCCTCACATCTGGCTGCCGCCTACCCAGTTCATTCGGCCACATCAGTCTCACCCTCACATACAGAGCCCCTATCATCTGCACTGTCCCCCTTACAGCTGGACACCCTACACCTGGCTCACTTTCACATTCGGTTCATTCTCCTCACATCTGGCTTCACTGCCTTGCGCCTGGATGTCCCCCAATGCACACCTGGATCATTCCCCTCACATCTACTCTCACCCCCTCTCACATCTGTCTGCCCCTCAAATGACACATCTCACTACTACCCTCCTTTACTGGAATCTTGCTCAGCTAAAGTTTGGCAGGAATCTTACATTCTTCTTGGCCCAGAAGTCAGGCCACAGCTGGACACTGTTCCCAAAATGGGCTGACCTCAGCCTCGGGGATGATGTGCAAATGCTGGGCACTGTCCCCAGGCTCAAATTGCTCTTATTCCCTCCTCGAGAAGGACACAAGGGGAGG